CCAATGACGAGAGAGAGCAGGTGCGGTTGACGAACGCCTCGTTGGAGGCACGCTGGCGTGCAAGCCGCCGCGAAAGTGCTTCGGCGGCCGAGGCGGCCCTGTCCGCAGCCTCGGCGTCCACGCCATGCCTCTTCTCCAGCACGGCAGAGGCGGCGATCATAGCCAACGGCACGACGACTGCGAGCAGCGTGCGCAGGCTAAGCAGCGTGCGCAGGCTGAACAGCTCCATATTGCCCAGAGGCTAGCGAGAAGAAGAGGGTCGGGGGTTGGCTCTTGGCAAGGCGTTCCTCGTCGGCGACGAAACGTTTGCCCAGGGGGCCACACCGCGATATTGCGGCGAGCGTCCGCTCCAGCGAACTTGTGTGCCTTTCTTTCGCCGCTTTTACTTCTTTTTTGCTGTCGAAAGAAAAGTTCTCCTTAAAATTCTTTTACTTGAAGAGCAAAGATTTCGAAATCTTGGGCGTTTCTTGTTGCTAGTGGCGTGAATGCTTAAGCATTCTCGCCCGCTCTGCTGAGGGGAGGGGTTGGCCTGCACAAGCTTTTCCGGCAAACAAAAAGGAAAACAGAGGGGCCCCAGCACTTTGCGTTTCCGGAAATTTCCAGGGAAAACAGAGGGTGTTTGGTGCTCCATTCTGGAAACTCGCGAGTTTCCCTGTACCCTGAGTCTGAGAGCTGGTCTGGGGCAAAATCTGAGGCAAAATTGAGGAAATCGGCACGATACCCAGGCGGTCGCAGGGTATTTTTCAGGTATACCCGGGGGTTTCCAGGTATACCCGCAAAATCCCCGGTATTTTGCCGATTTGGCTGATTTTGGGCCCAAACCAGCCTCAGACTCGGCTCAGAGCCCGGAAAATTTGATGGTTTCCCCGGGAAAACAGAGAGGGAAAAAGAGGGTGCTGTAGAGAAAAAAGGAAAGGAAAAGAGACGGGGTGCGAGAGGAAAAGCTTGTTCAGCCTAAGGGAGGGGCAGGACGAGCGGTCGCCTGAGGCGCCTATCTATCTCTGTCCACGCCCTCTTGTGGTTTGCCAGCGGGGCACGTGGCCAAGGACGACGTTTCAGATCGCGCGCGTCCGCTTGTTTGCGCACACGCGTGCTCGTTCGTCCACGCCACTGTCCTCCCGCCCCCTTCGATCTCTGTCGCCCCACCCGCAGCCGGGCGTGAGAGAGTTGTTTGTTGAAGAGCGAAGAAAGAAAGAAAACAGACGCCAACGAGGGATAGGGGATGAGGACAGGGTCCCCACCTGCACGAGCAGGATTTTCAATGTATGTGGCTCTTACGTACATTCCCGGAGGAGGACTGCTGACAGGGTTTGCGATGAGGAGTGCGGACTCAGGGCCGGTGCTTTGACGCAGTATATTGTACTTCGAGGTAGTATGAACTCAGAACGGCCCCCCGAGAGCGCCTCTTCGACGCCCACGGGTCCCAGGGGGTCGGAGGGGTTGCGAGAGGGCCTGGACTATTTTTTGTTTGAATTCCGGAGGCCGTTCGAACATATAACGTGCGTTCCACGTGCCCGTCCCCAGCAAGGACAACATGCTAGCCCAGCAGGCCGCTCTCACCGCCGCCCGCGGCGTAGGCAAGGCGGCAAAGGGTGGCAAGGGCGGCGGCAAGGGCGGTGGCAAGGGTTGTGGCCGTGTGGCGCACCAGACCCACTTTGCGCCGCCGCCCTCAACGCCCGATACTCGGTTGAGCCGGCGGAGCGACGGCGGCAGAGTTGCGGCCGCCGGCGACCTCACACGGCGTCGAGCGCCGTAGAGACGGCCCCGAGAGCCGCCGCCAGGTGTGCCACGACCGCGGTCGCGAGGCTCGTGGCGATGGATGCGCCAGATCCGCTTGCGCCGCCGCCCTCAACGCCCGATACTCGGTCAGAGCCGGCGGAGCGACGGCGGCGGAGTTGCGGCCGCTGGCGACCTCACACGGCGTCGAGCGCCGTAGAGACGGCCCCGAGAGCCGCCGCCAGGTGTGCCACGACCGCGGTCGCGAGGCTCGTGGCGATGGATGCGCCAGATCCGCTTGCGCCGCCGCCCTCAACGCCCGATACTCGATCAGAGCCGGCGGAGCGACGGCGGCGGAGTTGCGGCCGCCGGCGACCTTCCCCTCGACCACGCCGCCGACCCGTCGACAAGCACGTGCGGACTGCCATCGAGAAGAAGGAGACGGAGGGCGGCGCATCCGGAGCCCGCGGGCGCAGCGGGCGCGGGTCCGGGCGCGGGCGGGCGCGCGCGGGAACCCCGCCAGCGGAGGCGACAATGCCTCTGGCGGCTCTGCAGGCGGCGCGCGGCGCGCCCCTCGCCGGTCTCCCGCACGCTCCTGAGGGCCGAGAGGGCCGAGAGGCGGGGTCGGTGACCCGGGGGCATGGGCGGTGCGGCCCGCGCCGCGCGCGGGCGCGTGACAGCCCGTGAGTGCCGAGATCGGGTCCGTACTTCGACGTAGTATGGGCCCCCGGGGGCCCATCTACAGCAGCGGCGAAGTGAGCGTGTTTGTGGTGTTGGTGTGGCGTCTGAGCTTGGATCTGTGACTAAAGCCGGTTACCACTGATGGATCCCCACCCGAATAACACACAGTGAGCGCCCCAGCGCTTCACTACGCCCTCCGCGCGAAATCTCGCTAGTGCTGTGAGAAAGTATATTGTACTTTTGAGTAGTACGGGTACGGTTCCCGAGACCGCGTTGTTTCGCACCCATGTCTGTATGGCAATCGAGGCTGCCTTCCCCACTACCTGTAGTTCACTCGTCACCTCTCCCGCGAGCTCCCTTCTCTTTCTTTCGGGTATGGAGTCCGTGAGTGCGGGTAGCGTGCAGGCAATCACGGGTGCTATTTTGTCGTACTCCAGGTGGGGCTCGCAACCGCGTAAATATTTTTTCACGGCTTTCCTCGTCGCTCCAGCGCCCTGCTCCTTCGCCTCCGCGCGCCAGCCCGCAATCCCCTGCGTGATCAGCAGTGATGGCACGCGCCGCGCCTCCCACGCCGCTCTGCCCGCTGCCGTCGCGCCGCTCAGCCGCGGGGCCGCCCCGCCACCGCAGGGGGAGCCGAACCCGAAGGCCTTTCCGCTCGCCGACTCGAACCTCACCGTCTCGATCCTCGACGTGGTGCAGCAGGCTGCCAACTTCAAGCAGCTCAAGAAGGGCGCCAACGAGGCGACCAAGACGCTCAACCGCGGCATCGCCGAGCTGATTGTCATGGCGAGCAGCTGCCGCCCCGCCCGGCCTCCGCCGCACCACCCCTCTCGCGCTGCCGGGCAGAGCCGCCGCCCGCCGCCGACGCCCGCGTGGCCGCGCCCTGCGTCGCAGGCGGCCGACGCCGAGCCGCTTGAGATCCTGCTGCACCTGCCGCTGCTGTGCGAGGACAAGAATGTGCCGTATGTCTTTGTGCCAAACAAGCAGGCGCCGGGTCGGCCTCTGGGCCCTCCGCCCCGCCTCCCCGCCGCCTCCCCGCGCTTCTCCATGACTCCCCCGCTCCCCCGAAAGGCGCTCGGCCGCTCCTGCGGCGTCTCGCGGCCAGTCATCTCGTGCTCCATCACGACCAACGAAGGCGCGCGCGCGCGGCTCGAGAGAGTCGGGCGAGGCTTCGCCTCGGCGGTGCATCTCGGCTCACTCTCGGCGGGGACGTGCGGCGCGTAGGCTCGCAGCTCAAGAACCAGATCCAGCAGCTCAAGGACTCCATCGAGAAGCTCCTCATCTGAGTCCTGACCGAGGGCCGCCCGCGGTGCTGCAGGAGTCGGGTGCCAGCGAGGCTCGCCTGACGGGCAGATGGCGCGGCAGACGCGCATTGGGGGGTGGTATCGCCTTCGCGGCTCGGAAGGCGTCACGCGGAGGCGCGCTCAGCCGCTGTTGCGCTGTCGAGCTCTGGCTGTCGCGGCGCCGCCAAGCCCTCCCTTCTCTAGGCGCCTGCCGTGTGGGGCTTCTG